ATTTTTGGCGTTTCAAACACGTGCGTCTTCATAAAAAAAGTAAGCAAAGCTAATCTAGAAGGACATTGAGGCACCCTAAGCTAATCTAAGGTGTTCCTACATATATCTCAACTCAACATATAAAGGGGGGGGGGGGGGGGGGGGGGGAGGAGGAGAAGCGTCCCCCAAGGAGCCGGACTTGTTTTACTACGGTTGATGAGGTGAATACGAGTATAGCATTCCAGTCGATTCCGCTCAGCAGGCGTACGCCTTGCTTGTTGCTTGTTTTGATTCCCGCTTAGCGCAATTTTCCAGAGAGAAAAAAAAATATATTTACATGCCGCTCCTAAAGTACACAAACGCGGTTCCTTTCACTTACATTTCGAGCCTGTTCACCCTCTTTCTGCGCGAAAAAGAGGACTCGAAAAATTGGCAGCCACACTTACCTTCAATGCCCTTTAAATGTATGCTGAACCAAACTATATTAAGTGGCGCACGATTTTTTCTCGAGCCAGCAGCCGCCGGTGTGCGCGAGCACACGCACGAAACTGACGTCATAGTCCCCCATCCACGTGTAAGATGATAGTGAAATGTGTGGGCTCCAGGGAAAACGAGAATTTTCATCTCCACATTGGGGTCTGGTGTAGAAGGTAAGCGATCAATTGGTATATTAAGCAGGTAGCTTTCACTTGTGGATATGAAAAGCCTGTCTTTGTTCTCCTTTGGCCCGAAGCCCATACATTTCACTGTCATCTTAAAATGGGGGACCTATGACGTGAATTTCGTTGCGTGTGCTTGCGCACACCGGCGGCTGGTGGCTCGTGGAAAGAACGTGCGCCACTTATTATGGACACTAAATTGTTTGATTTAGTAGCCCTTTAAAATGCATCATAGGGAATTGGCGAGGAGATTGGCATTTGTCACGGGACGTATATTTTCCCGCTAAATTTAGCAGGGAAACTGAATAAGGAGTATCCGTAGATCGTATTCGCCGTCCCACGAAATAATAAAACGCTACTTTAGTTAGATTTATCTTGTATTCTCGGTCATTCCGGAAAGCTCTCCATTTACCCTCATAAATGGCTTCCAATTAATTTTTTAAATGTGTAAGCGCGCGTTTTTTTTTTTTTTTTTTTTTGCTGCATTTGTGTGTGCGGATGTTAATTAGTTTCGTTCAAGAGGGGTAAAAAACCAGAAATACAACGAAATGAACTTCGATAACACTGAAATCCTCAGAATTTAGCGGAAGTGAACACTGATTTACGCCGATTCTGTAATTAAAAGTACCTCCCCCCCCCCCCCCCACACACACACAAAAAAAAAAAAAAAACGAAAAAAAAAAATTAGCAAAATGAGATAGGGCTTTTCTCCTTGGTGAACAAACACCTGGAGAGAATAGAGACAGATTGCCTTGCAGAAGGTTTCTCAGATAGGTCTAAAAGCTGCGCTCACACTGTTAATACGTCGCAAGGAAGAGAACCTGCAGACACTGTCCGAGGTGTTCCATTCTTATAGTATTGTCCTTTCAGAGTGGTCATACAACGACTGACTGCAGACGTGAGCAGCGAGATTCGTGCTTCCTGCATTAAAAAAGACGCGTATAAGAGACTGTTCGCCATTTTTTTTATGTTAGCCGCTCAAAAGATCTGTTTTCAATCACATCACTCCCCCCCCCCCAACCAAAAAGGTTTAAAAATGTCCTAAACTTATTAAGGACGGTTGCTTTTTATTTTTGTGGTGACGGGGCAGTACAAAAACCCTGGCAAAGCGTGGAGCGAAGCTACTTGTTTCGAACAATATTAAAATTGGTGTTACAGTGCCGCCTTAAGTCTACTCGTTTATTTACTATTACGTTACAGTTCGAAAATCAGAAACGTTCAATTTAGTAAGCTACCACCGCCAAGGGTCCCAATCAACAGTTCCGACAGACCAAGGATACCGCATGTCGGACCACCCAATCCTTTACGACAGCATACAAATAAACACGTAGGACAACGAATTTGGACACTGCCGCCGGAAGCTTGTGACATTGCTTGCTTATAAATGAGCGAGTACTGGATGAGTATTCATATAATAATAACAATGATAATAATAATAATAATAATAATAATAATAATAATCTTTATTGACTCAGGAGGCCGCGGCACCTGTTTGGAACGAGGTGTAATACGTAACCTGGAATAAAGAAGGCGATACAAAAGTAAGAAGAGTCCTCGACAGGAGTCCGGCGTTTGATAAATGTTACGAGGTTGAATTTATAAGGATTGGCCGTCCTGCCCAGCATACTGTCGTTGCCTTCTGTCGTGCTTTGGTTGCGTGTGCAGGCTCGAGGTTCACGGGACGCCAAGGAGTAGCCGAAGACGGCACAACTGGAACCTTCCCCCGCCGTCCTCATCCCATCGGTGATTACGGTGGTGCAAGAAACAAGTCAAGAATGCAGCTCACAACGAGTCTCTAGAGGGAATCGTAACAGCCTCGCAAGGTGGCTATCCGCCGAAGTCAACAAGGGTCGACGATCGTTGCTGCGTAACAGCTGCAGAGACAGATGATGGGATCATGTGCGCCTTGTTGCTCACATTAATATAAAAGGGTGTGTGTGCGAACGATGCTCCTCCAGGTGATACTGAACGCCGAGACAAATTAAAGTGCCTCTACACTTCCATTCACGAGTATGACGACTATACTCTGGTTACCCGAGCTGAGAGTGCGGTGGAGGCTATGTGCTCGTTGAACCAGTCATGCATCTATATTATACAGTGCGATCACGCTCCCATTATTACCCGCGTGGAAAAGAAGAGGTCGGGTGACTACAGGGAGGCAGCTGATTGGTCCAGTGAATTCGTTGCTTCCACCACGCTGCCAGCTTAGGAGTGAACGGAGGATAACGCGCGTGACGAAACACGTTTCGTAAAAGACCATGGGATCTTTTAATTCAATCTGCCGCTACACGCCACCTAGTTCTTCCTAAAACAAACACCGCCCTGCCTGTTTTTAAATGCAAAGGTTGTCAAGAAGAACCAAGTGAGCCTTTTGCCCAGCAACTTCCAGGCATACACTTTGAGACATTCCTGTGCCTTTCATCCACATCTGTACACTTCGCATTTGATCAAAAGAAACCCCCAATGCAAAGTAGAGTTGGGCCGATGCCACAGGAGCCCATACAGGGAATGGTGTGGTAAGCAGTCCCATACCGTACCATTCTCGTCGTTCAGAAACGACATCCCAGCGGAGACTGGATGCACCGCTGCTCGTAGCATATGCAGCGAAAGCTCACATTGCAGAACCCAGGGATCCTGGGCTCAATCCCTACCCCTGCCCGTTTCAATCTTGATGTATATCATACCAGCGGGCAGTCGTGTATCACTACTGCATGACCGGGTCAAAGACCCCAGGATGGCAGTAGTACCGGACTGGCTAAATTTCTCATCGGCAGCAGTAGGCAGACGACACCCCTTGGGGCTGGCTAATTTCCCGCTGTATAAACATACACACAACACAAGTATTCTCTAAACAATGACCCACATGGAGTACCAAACCTCCGAAATCGTCTGTGCATCCATCGCCAGTTTTAAAAGGAGTAACAAAAACAACTAACGTCATACTGTTGTGATATAGTTAGCTGCGTGACGACTTACAGCCATGCTCGGACAAGCAGCGTCGGTCCATTCGATATTCCCCTCCCGACTGCAACCGCCGAACTGTCTTTACTAACAGAATTGACTCGGAAGGAACACAGTTCAGATAAGCGTAACAAAAAGAGAGCACAGAGACGGCATTAATTGCCTTTGACGTACTGAACCACTACCAGTTACTCGGGGACAACGTAGGCTGTTTAATCTAGCACTGACGACATACAACTCTCAAGTAATCACTCTCGAGCAATTGACACAGGGAACAATGTTGTAGAAGCTAATATTAGCAGTATTAGTAGCGTTAGTATAAGGTATTGATTTATACCGAAGAAGCCATTCCTAAGCAAAATGTCCACCATACTGGCGTGTGGTCGCATATCATGGTGCACGTTAAAGAACCCAGGCTAGCGGTTGTAACTTGTCCTGCACTGGCTAAATTGCTCATCTACAGCAGAGGCACCTGACGCCCATCGCAGCTAACTGACTTCCGGCTGTATAAACTTACATGCAACACAACTGTCATCTGCTTTCGACGTTGGTTCCTTTTCTTTCCTTTTTTTTTTTTTATTCTCACAATTAATTTTGGACACCTTCGTGCTTTATCTCGAATCAAGCCACTGAGCGATTAGAACTAGCAAAAACATATCACTCGCCGCTAAGTAAACTGCTCTGCTGCTGGTATCTTCAGCGAAAGAAAGCATGGATTGACTGACTTCCTTGTTCTTGGGTTCTAGAGCGATTCGTGACAGCAGGACCTGATAGGCATCAGAGCCTGCCAACAAGGTCGTCATCCTGGTGTTTTGATTACGAGTCGACACAACTTTGAAAATAATGTATCTTCATGACGTCCTACCAACTGTATCTTAAAATCTCGATGGAAGACTCAAAACAAATGGAGAGAGGGGAGGGAGAGCATTAAGAGGCGCCCACTTCACACACAGCGATTGTTGACCCAAACCAAAGACGCTTGACGTCGGCGGCAGCGATAAAAAACGCGAACTGAGTCGAGATTACAACTTCCGCCCGGACGTTCGACCAAGTTCGGACTCTGCTACGGGTCGGGATTTATAATTGTTCACTTTGTTTCGAACAAATTCTTCTTCTTGTATGTTTGTTGCAGTTCGTTTGTTTTGTTCCAGCTGCATCTCCAAACTTCGGTGACCAAAGAGAAGAATTCGGGCGACACCTGTAAGATCTCCCGATTCAAAACAACGACACCAATTCATCGTCACAAACTTTGTTCAAAGTCTGTGTGTTGTGAGATGCTCCGCCACATGATAACTTCTAAACAATCGATGAAGAGGGGAGGAGAAAGTAAGTTTGGAAAGGAGATAAACAAACATAAAAAACAAACCACGAGAGAAAGTTTTGTAACGAAGAAGAACTTACCTTCACGGTGTGTTCCCGACTCGTCGACGGCTGATCCAGACCGCTCATAACACGGGCGTCGGACGACGATGACGACGTTTCGGCGACTTCAGAGGTGCCGTGCTCGACGTCCGGAGAGCTAGGACTAACTTTAGGGCTTTCTGACGACGGGGCGACGGTGCCGGCGGCTCCCGCGGACGCTGACTCGGTGCGATAGGTCGCTAGACGCTGTGCGGCCGCCGACTGAGTCGATTTGTCGCCGCTCTTGGACTTGGACAGTTTTCGCATGCTTCGGAGGCGCAACGGTCTGCTGGCGTCGTCACCATCGGATGATCAAACCGCGTGTCAGTATGTTTGGAGTGGTGAAGGCTACGTACTTGTCGGCTACGATCCCATTCAAGCTCGGAGACCCACTAAACATACACAGCACAGAACCGTCGCCGCTCCCGCACAAACACCACCACCGCACAAACACACGCACGCACGCACGACAACTTCTGAGGCGACGTGAAGGAGGGTGTTCGTCTGCTGCCGAGGGTTAGAGCAACTTTTTTTTATTTTATTTTGTTTTTACTAGAAACTCGTTGGCGATTCCGGACGATCGAAGGAAAAAGTTCGCGGGTGAGGAACTCGGGAAGGTGGACTAGTGCGTCAAAAACGTCTGTCACCCGCTGTCACAACTTTACGCTGTCCTTGTGGCGGAGTGCTTCTTTCTTTTATCCTTGCAAACAATTTCTCGCCGATCCCGCAGTTGGGCAGGCGGCAGTGCCGCCGGGGCCTGGTGTCGAGGCTAAACCAAACTTTGACAATCTCGGCTGCTCTTCTCCCACGTGAAGCAAATAAAAGTTGGGATCCTTGTCGCTCTTTTTATACACGACGTACGACGAGAAACAAGTCGCCGCCTGCAGTTATCTGGACAAGTTGGTGCGGCGGGCGAGCCGCCGACCTAAAACGGATGTCTCGAAAGCGATCCAAACTGACGCGCGCGAACGTCCAACGAAATAAAATACTAGATAAACAAACCAAACGCCGCGCCGACCGGCCCAAGTCTCTGTTGAGCTTGCGAAACTTGGTCCCTCGCGATCACGAATAGCACGCGCCGCCGGTTCTGGCACTCGGTCAATCCACAGCGATTGTCTCACACCTCTATAAAAGTATCTCCGATGCTAGCTAGGCCGCCACCCTACGCTGACAAGTACTATATATCGCTTTTTGCGACAAAAAGTGCGCCGTTCAACACTGCGTCGTCCGCTCCTAGGCCTAACACACTTGGCCCAGCTGAGTTGCCGGGTGCTAGAGTAATCGAAGCACAGAAGAAAAAAAAAAAAAAAAGTGAGAGGAAACTAGCCTGGAAACATGGCTGTAGCTTGCAACTTGGGCCGGAGCGGCTGCAAGAGCGTTGCCGAAAATGCAGATTGCTCTTCACCGGCAAATGCTTCTGCGGATTCCGGCCGCCACGGTTGTTCTTCTGCAGTCGCTCGACGTTCCGCTGCAAACACTCTTGCAAATTCGTCCTCTAGACGCAGAAATTAGTTTAAAGATGCATCCCCTTGTGACGCCTGCCGCCGCCAGCATACGCAGGGAAAAATGCCAGGTTGCGTAGTGGCGGATGCGCACTGGCGAGCCCGGACGCGCTACGTCACTCCCGGGGTTCTCCCAGGCCGACGACACGATTCGCCGCCGCCGCTGCCGCCTACTGCCGCCCGCTGCTCAGAAGGACACCGCGCGAGCGCTCGAGACTTCGTTCCCGGGTCGCGATCGTCTAAGGTGCGGTCACAGGGCCCGAGTTTACGCCTAGCGTACTTGGTTCCAGTCGGAAAAAGTGTCCATCTCTACCCGTTTCTTGTAGCAGACGTCCCACCATTCCTAGCAGACTACATTTGTTTTGTAGCAGACGACATTTACTTTGTAGCAGACGACATCCGTTCGGCAGCAGACGACATCCGTTTGGTAGCAGACGACATCCGCTGCGTAGGCGACGATGCGCCCTTCCGTATATTTGCGAAACACTGCAACAATGGCAAGTCTGTCGTTTTATCTTTTGTCGCTATTCGATTGGGACGAAATATATTGTTCTACGAGGTCTTTTCAGGCGGCCTATAGATTCCTCATATCCTCGTTCGGACGGGTTTAGTAAGGGGTAAGTACTTTATAATTAACAACAAACGTTTAAAAAAACCTTGTTACAACTTTTAGAATATTTTTTTTTTTGTATTTTGGTATATTTCGCACACTCAACAATGAATTTTCCTGGAATTTAGTCAAAATGCGTACGGACCTTCCGCTTGACGTTGGCTAGGCTGTTTTTATTGATAATAAGAGAAAATATGCCGGAATTCGTGTAGGAATTGATCACATTTTTTTTTCTGTAAATAAGAAATAAATAAGGTAACAGTGTTGCAGGACGAAAGAAAACGCAGTTCGGGTGAGAATTTTCTGGTTTCAAAACGCGCAAGAGTCCAAACTTCGCGCCGATGCTCGTAATTGGTCCATGCTTGTACCTCTGGACATTTCCGTGGTTTTTGACCACCCCGTCGACTCTATTACCCAAGGCTAGCTGCTGAAACGCAAATAAAACCTCGAACTCGTGTGCCAGATTCAGTTCACTCGAGCTAACACGGTCTTCGTGAGTAATTCCGTGAAACCGATGTCAACTTGGAAGACAGCCGTCCGTTTCTTTAGCAGACGACATCTGCTGAAGGAAACGTCCATTGGTGAGCTGCTGTCACGAGGTCTGGATCCCGGGCCCCGGGTTTCCCAGGGACCGCGTGCCTAGATCTCTTCCAACTTTCGCCTTCTTTTATTTTTTTATATATTTTTTACTTAGTTTCTCTTTCTCTCTGCTAAGATATCCTTCACCGCCATACTGGGTCACCGAGACCGCTCTGAACACCCACCGTCCACCCCCGCGGAGGAACATATAACAAGAAAATAGTCACTCCCCACTTTCTCCCTCTGTATGCGTGGGAAGAGAGAAACTCACTCTGCTTCTTTGTCTCGTGTTTAGCAGCAAAAGTATATTTCTCTTTTTTTGGTATTTAAGGTGCGCGAAACTGAGGTAGTTTCGGTTTTGATTTCATTTTCGAACTTATTAGCTTATCATTATCTCAATTATTCGCGATGGAAAGGGACCGCTAGGAAAGAAACGGAGGGGAAAGGGGAAATGTGGAGATGCGGCGCGGAGAGGAGGCAAGCGTGCAGCAGACGCGCTGGAAAGTAGGTCAATGCTCGTGCTTGCGCGCCAGCCGGGTGATGCGACGGCTTGGGTGTGACGTTATCCGGCGCGGGTTAGCCGCCTACTGTAGACATCGCGAGCCAGCTACCGCGCCGAAGCGAACGACACTCGTTGGAAGTAGACGGCGGCGATACCGTTTGCTTGTTGCAGAACGCGAATGCAACAGCTGCGGACGGCATGGCACGAAACGCACGAAACACCGCATCGTGGCATCGCCAAGGCAGGACTTGATCGACGACTTTATTCCGTGCAGGGTACGCCGACCAACATAAATGCCTTCCTCGTACGAAGGATACTCGCTCGGGTCACGTGACCAACATGGTTCAAACTCGTGAGCTTAGTACGAAGAACAAAGCCAGCCATTTCGCTTGCCTAAGGCGGCCGGTAGATTATTTCACAACACACACAAAAACACAAACGCGCGTGTGCGTGTCGCATGAATTATGCGTGCGATCCGTGCTTTGTGATTCGTTATGCTTGTTTACAGAATGCTTTTTGGTGGTTTCGGATGCATTGCACGCCCGACACACTCGTGTGCTCCCAAATTTTTATTTTTATTTTTTAGAATGATCGAGACAATATTTCATTTATTTAGGAGGCGTGACGTCGTGAGATCACGTGGGGAGTAACGCTTCGTCATTCGGAAGCAACGGTGCACCCGCCGACAGACACCCACACCGCAGGCTCTCTTGGGTCTTGCCAACGCCGCCTGGCGACGTTGGTTCGATTCTCGCCCCTACCGCTCGGTAAATCTTGCTATTTGTGTTTAAGTATGCTTAATTATAACAGTCTACCTTGCATGCTTATTCATGGCCTGCTTTAGGCTATGTACGCTTTATGTGCCTTCGCCTGCTTGTAACAGTTTTCGTTACACTCGAGCGTAATGTTCTTCGCGGCCCCACAGAGGCTACCCCAAACAGCTTGGGGCGTCCAACTGCGCATGCGCAGAACTTCTGCGCATGTCCATTGCGATGCCCCGAACTGTTTGGGGCACCCAAAGCCGTGGGGCCCCCTATTCTAAAACTCGCTATTATGTGTTAAAAAGACGAAGTACGCTCCCGCGACACACGCGCTTAAACGTAATAGCGGGGCTAGCCGTCTGGGAAGAAGTTATTTTATGTTCTATACAGATATGCTTGACTCGACCAACTCGGCAATCCGTTGAGGACGTTCCTCCCAGAGGTTTAGAAAGTCATTATCATTTAAAATAACGCCGGATTCAGAATGTCGATTTGCCCATGCACTGAAGTTTCCACAGTGCACTCCTGTCCACGTTTTTATTTTTTTTTTATTTTTTATATATTTTTTAATGTGGTGCGGGAATATGGGCATTTGTAGCCGTAAGTTTCATGTTGTTACAATTCCGTGTGCATTTTGTATTTGACACCGCGTTGCACAAGTATTGAGCATTTTGCTTAGTCTCGGTTCTAACCTTGTACATTTCATGCTTTTTTATTCCCCAGCTGTTTCTAACATTTTTGAAGATTTTCGCGTTTACCTTTATATGCAGTTTTGAATTTTATGCAATGTCTCAATACTTAACTCTTCGCACGTTCTTGGACAAGGCACCAAAACTAGTACGCCTGGTGGCATCACCTGGTGGCTTTAGGGCGAACCTCCTCAGAGCTGGCGCATTTTGCTGAACGAACCGAATTGTGTGTTCTTTTGTCCAAACCAGCCCGCCCGCACGTTATCTGCGGATCATCCACAAAGTAAACCTGCTGTTATGTCATCAGCCTTTTTTGTGCTTCCCGTGTGAACATAATCAACAGACGTCTCACCTTTGTCTAACCCTGGGAGCGGGAGTCTTGCCGGCATCCGCGGATCGGAATCACTGGACCTTTCTAGTTCTGCGCAAGCGCAAGCACTTCTCATGCAGTTTAGAAAGCTCGATGTGCGATTGAGTCGCAAGTCGTAAGAGAGGTAATGCAACTCCCCTTCAGGGCGCCAATCGCACTTTGAGTTCTCGCCGCTTGGTGTCGTATTTTATTTATTTATTTATTTAGGTTCCTTAAGAACCCCGGAGGTCAGGGTATTACATAAGAACATGGTTTAGTTATGTAAAGAAATTGACATTTCATGAAATGAGTCGATGTCTTATGTTGAAACGATACGACTTCAGACACAGCGGCATCCCAAATATACATATTAATATACAAGCCTATTTTTTTAAATTTTTTTACGAGGTGCAACAACTTTGCACGCATTACATACAGTCGTCGCATGTACAACAAAACCGCACCCAACGAGGCGCCACACGGGACCGGCATCACGACCTCCTGCTGACTTCTCCACAGCCTTATACGCGTACTTGACCACTGAAAGATACTCATCCGCAGGCCAGCCCCTCCGTAATTACGAAGGTTACAAGTATGTGCATTTGTTTTCGAGATTGCATATACATCATAATATCTCGAAGTTCAATGAACGCATCTTCAAATAAGCGTTGGCGTAGGGTGTATTTCTATGATCTAGATTCTAAACGCTAAAACAACTTTTGCCAGATCCTTCTGAAGCGCGTGTTTGAAGGGTGTGGGACAAGGGTACTGCAGTACTTTTCCACGCCCTTTCTAGACCCTCGAAACATAAAGGCCGGTTCACACTCTTGCAACCGAGTACGACCGAACGAGACGAGACCTGTCGAGACCTCTTAAAATTTCTTAGGACGAGAGAACACACTGGCACTCTGGCGCCATCTATGCGGTGATCCTGGAACTGCATTTCACAAGAGCGAAGGTTTTGCGGGATTTCCGAGGTCAAATGTGCGTAATACCTATAAGAAAGGCTCGTTTATAATGTTGACAAAAGTTTTTCGAGCCAAGAAAGAAAGAATAATGCGCGAGAAATAAAATATGCCGGACCGCCAAGTTTACTTTGCTACCCGGTTCTAATAGGTCGCAAGTGTGTGAACGGACCTTTATTGGTGTTCCATGTAACAGCACCTGATTTACAAATAAAAAGGGTGTATTCTTCGAAATAACAGTGCTGAAAGGGTGTGGCTAGATAGAGTCACTACACTCGGCGACAACTTTTCTTGGCAATGCGGTAGAGCAGGCACGTAGCCAGGAGGGAGGCCCATAAGGCCCGCCCCCGCCCCCCCCCCCCCCTCCCCCCCCCCCCCCACGAAATTTTCCATTTTGCTGGGACCTCCGCTCCCCCCTCCCCCTCATACAGCATTTTGTCATGAGCGCCCCCCCCCCCCCCCCCACCCCACACACACACATACACACACACACACCCGAAACAAAATCCTGGCTACGTGCCTGCCTGCGGTAGAGGGTACAGGCACGCGTTCCTTCTCGCATTTTGAGAGCTGAATAAAGCTGTGCGCGGGGTCTCCTCCTCTCCACTGCATTGCCAAGAA